ACATAACGAGATTTCTCAAAAAGTAACGATATGCTATTACAATTTCTTTTGTATAAGAAGTATTTTAAATTTTTTTGCACAGAGATTTCTTCAACCTTCTTTTGTATTTTTTGCTTGTCCTTCGTAAATTGCTCTTTGCAGGCACTCGCCTATTCTGCCAATCTCGCTTACCGATCGAGATTCGATCTTTTTCCTTCGGGACGCGGAACGTGGTTTCGGAACGCGCAGATAGACCTGGCCCAGGGGTGATGGCACACACCTAGTTTTGATTCACCTCATGGTATCCTGCCGGTCACGGGGCTGACGGCGCGTAATTGTTCTCTTGTCTGGTTCTCGCACAGCATCCAACACTCGCCATCCCCGCGATTGCCTTCGCGCCAAGAATGCATAAGCAGTCTCCTTTAGCGATCCGCAATGCTGTAAGCCTTCGTCCGCTTACAATGCCTTTATTCTTGACACCCGTCGCTTTCTCAAGGATTTGTCGAAAATGCAAACAAGCCGATAGGTTTTGCCATTCTTGTAGTAAATATTACAATTATTCGGATCTTATCGTATTAACTGTAATATCTAGCGTTTGATATCGATTGTACCTCCATTTAGTCGAACGTATGCATTCAGAATCAGTTAAAATTAAATTAATCTTTTTTTCAAAGTTTCCCGTATCTTTACATTAATGATGAATTCGACGACAGGTGAACAAAATCCATTGCAAGTTTCTTTTTTCGATACTATAAAATTCGCAATCTCCGGATCGTTACCTCCATATTTAATGTCGCATCGCTCTCGTCTCTCTCTCCTTCTCTCTCTTTGGAGTTTTATACGCATAAAATATGGACGTAGCGTGATATGGCTCAGGAACCAATCAGTAGCGATCCGGAAAATTGACAAACGATCTCCTTTTTTTCTCCCCCATCGCTGGGTTGTGTCGTTATCGCGTATTTCTGTAAATCGATGCGTCCAATACCATTAATGGATTATTAATGATCGGCAGAAATGTCGCAGCTTCCTGATGAATCCGACGAACTGCCTAGTTATACGATTCTGCGCGTGTATCGGCCAGGATTCGGCATCGTTCGGTCGCATAATTTCCCGCGCTGGCAATCATATCGCGCGAGGATAATTGGCACACGACCCGACAATCGTCGTAATTTCGCGTTCCCGCTGCGCAAATTCTGACGTGTGACACGCGACGGATCGGCGCTCCTGGGAGGCACCTCATTCAATTAGCCACTCAGTTACTCGCATCACATCGCATTTACCCATCAGACTCCCGCCCGGTGAACTCTCTGACGACCCTCCCCGAATCCACGTCTGTACGCCGTGGGGGCTGCTGCGGCGAATTCGTGATTTAAACTTTTCGAGAACGACGACGCGAGAGGGGGTGCCTACGTTGAGTGAAACGCACGTACCGGCAAGGAAGCTGTCACGCTGTAAAACGGCTTTAGTTTGCGCGTCAGGTCACGCTGGCAGTATTGCTTCTCTGCCGCTTCATCCGCAAAACTTTCTTAGTTTTCCTATCGCTCTTTCAGCGACGCTTTATCAAGGACTTATTAAATCAGTGAGGGGCACTGCTTTCATAAAGACAAACAGGTTTTCAAAATATTTCCCTATAGGAGAGTCAAACAACCATATCTTCGACGTAATATTGATTATCGATAGATGTCTTAATCATAATTCATTGATTATATAATTATTGTATATCTTGTAAATATTGAGAAAGAGAATAAACGAGATAAAATAATTATCAAAGTAAATATAGATAGATAGAAATATCATGGCAAAATACTGTTTTTTTTAATTTTCTGTTGAGGACGACACAAATATTAGCATTTTCCCAGGGTCAGAGTAAATGATCGTCAAGCTATCGGTGAAGGTGGCGGAAGTCGCGCCGTGAAGCCGCAGAAGTTTCTACGAATCCGCGACTGGTTGCAAACTCGCCGAAGGGTCGAAACCACCAGCGCCGTGAAATTACTCGACGGGTACCTCCCGCGGGGCCGAACTTGTCCGCGACAATTTCAAACTTATTTTAACATTCATATAAGCTCCGCGCCCTCGCTCGTGTGCGAGAGCCCCTGAACCGTCATCTACGCATCCCTTTCGCTGCGTAACCCGAGAAGCGACCCATGTACGACGCTCTTCCTCGATGTAAGGACGTGCAAGCATAAGGGCGGCTTGGGATTTACATAAGATTATGCGTAAGCCTTCGTATGCCTCGCGGAAAGGGGATCGACGAAATGGTGTCGTGGCGAAACAACGCTCCGGGGTGCGCTCATCTCGCTGATAATTATAATAAAGCGGCATTATATGACGTACGAGCGATAAGCGTCATTGTCGATTCCAGGAAAGTACGAACGATCAGATGTGATTTAAAATTTTTTTATCAGTTTCCTAATGCGATCTGACTTTAAATTTTAAATCTTACAAAAAGTTATCAATAGATAGCAATATCATCCAGAGTATGTATAAAAAAAAGAAACTTTGTTGATTAGTTGTTCTTGCTCGTAATTTTATTATTTTGTTATAGTATATATAAATATTAAACGCTTTTATATTTTATTTTTTATTTGTCACTTGTAATTTTAAAATTTGTTTATATACGTAATATATTTACTTGAATATAATATAGTTTAATGTTCATTAAATATTTATATAGATGATATCATGAAATAATGCTGTCAATAAATAGAATGGCGCAAAAATAATGTAATATTACAATGTAAGTATTTAAAATATATAAAATTAAATAAATAAATAAATAATTTAAAATTAAATTAATTAATAAATAAATAATGTATCATGCATACATCATGATTAATTTATGTAAGTGAAACGTATAAGTTATAAAAGCTTCTTTTCTTTTGCACGATAATGAAGTCATTTTTTATATAAGGGTACAAAAATCAATTTTTACTACATCTGCGAACTACTTTATATTTCAATAAGCCAACAGGATTTATTATCAAGCGCATAGCTGTTCTTTGCCTCGTGGCGTTGTTAAATCTTACCTCCCATCCCCTGCTATGTTTTGTATTCATAGTCTGAGCGAAAATTGCTCCTAGAGCACAATAAAGATTATATGAACCATAAAGTAAGTTCAGTTTAACTCGCCGATGTTTATTTAAGCGTATGAGATATATTACGAGAATTTTATCTTTAATTTTATCTCTATGCGTTAATTTTATCTCTATCCTTTACATTTCCTCTTCATATTATTCTCTTTTCCTTGCAGCTCTCTTAACCGCCAAACCGACCGTGGTTACTGCGAAACCATCGTCGGTGTGTATATCGGCGGAGAGATTTTCTCCGTTGGACATCGAGAGCACTGACTAGAATCCCGAATCAATCTGCACTCTTACGAAAATGTCCCGAACTACGCGAACGTTCTCTGTGAAGCACGATTAACAAGGAAGGTTGCATCTTTTCTATAAAATATAATATAATAAGAACAAATCAAGATCGCAGTCATGCAAATTTGGAAATCGTAGACAACATTTCTGCAAAAATTATTGATTGATATTAAATGCAGTTAATGTTTAGTTAATAAATTATAAGTAATAAATTATTTCCCATTCTTTTTTTTAAATGAAAAAAATGTTGCGGACACAAATTATGTCTCTTTTGCGACGTGACACTTCCATTTTTTTATCTGCATTTTTCAATAACCTTCACACGTCGCAAATTTCGGCTGGATTAAGCAAGGTAAAAAGGAAAAAAAAATGTGAAGCCATACCCGTAGCCGTGGTAAGTTATATATCGTGATATAGATGTTTTTTATAGCATAAAATTCTTCACATAGTAAACAAAAATATTAAAAAATATTTCCGCAAAGTTTATAAAAGTAATTTGTGCACAGATATCCGTAAATTATTACATACTTTATTTTGTTAAATTATTAATCAAGTAGAATATATTTTGATACTTACTGTATTGATTTTTTTCAAGCACATAAGGCACTTCATTACGAGAACTTTTTTTAAATTTTGCCTCTGTGCGCATTCCTCACATTATCTTTTCATATTAATAGAATTTAAGTTAATTTAAGTTTAGAATATATTTTATATTAATTTAAACATATTATTTCTTTATTTTTTTTTTTTTTATAATTTTTTTTTTTTTTTTTAATATTATTTCATATTATTTCTCTTTCTATTGTTCTTATAAGTTGACATAAATTTTTGCAATAAAATATTCATAAAATTAAAAATTACATTTTTAAAATAAATTAATCTTAATCATTGTTATTTTATTATAAAGTTATAATATCTGTGAGAAAAATGTTTAATATTAATTATTGTTTAATTCTCGATAAGCAAAAAATTATATAGTTATTCACTTAAGATTCATGATCCTACATTAGATATTAAAAATTTTTTCTTCGTATAATTTTCCTTATGAGTTAAAAATAATTCTCGGTATAATGTAATGTAATATTTCATGGATGTTTGCGGCGAAAAATAGTTAAAGTTTTTTTGGAAAAGAAATATTTTACTAAGAAAATGTAGAAATAGTTATTATTTCCGCGAGTCGTTAAGTTTTTATAGCAATAATATATGTTCATAGCGCAAATGTGAGAAAAACGTGTTACGACATTTTATTTTAATATGATTTATAAAAAATGTGTAATTTTGTGAATTTTTATGAAAGTTATGTATTCTTTATATCTAAATTATTTCATTGCACGTTAATGGTCGATGTTTTTTTATTTGATTAATTTAATATAGCTTCAGTTTTTTTAAACAATCTAAAATTTGAAGTATTTCATTCATCATATTTAATTATCTTAAAGTATATCTAAAAAAATTAATGTATCAGTACGAGCTTTCTTAAACGTTTCAAATAATGATTAATGATTTATTCAGTACGAGCTTTCTTAAACGTTTCAAATAATGATTAATGATTTATTTATTTGAATTATTCAGAATTTTGAACACGGAAAACATGATTATCATACTTTTATATTATATATAAAAAGCTTCTATATAATGCACGTTTTGCTATAGATTCTGTGCGGATGCGGTCGATTGGATGGTACCGAAATTTCAGAAGCTGTTTCGACGGCCATACACTTACGGCAGAAAGATATGAAGCCCCTATTTTATGCTCCGAACATTGAGATTAGTGGCGTAGTCGATCATTATACTAGAAAGACAACAGATAATACTACCTGTTCTTCTAGAAATGCTCTTGTGGAAGCTGCCAGATTAGCAAGAGCATGTATAAAACCTCTGACCGAATGCGAAGTTTGTACACATGATGCTCTTATTATACCCGGAGGATTTGGTGCCGCACGTACTTTGTATGTGTATAGAACTAATAATAGAACTTCAATAATAAAATAACAAACATAATAAAAAATAATAAAATATAACAAAATAATATATACTAAAACAATATTATAACAGTACAATATAAAAAAAGTTGTGAATATATTCGATAAAAGCACGCAATAATAATTTATATAGATATTAAACTATCATTTTTACATTTATAAAGGAGTAATTTTGTCGAAAAAGGTGCAAATTGCACCGTCTTACCCGACTTGGAAAAGCTTATAGAAGATTTTTACTGCGAGAAAAAACCGATCGGCACTATATGCATAGCTAGTGCGCTTGTCGCTAAAGTGCTAAAAGGCGTCAAAGTTACTCTTGGCAAAGAATGTAAGTCACTGATCATCCTTCCTCGTTGATAATCTATTTTAATATCAGTAAATGATTTTACAGCACCCAAAGAAGACTGGCCATACGCTGATGCTATCAACAAGGTCAAAGAAATGGGAGCTGAAGTAGAAATGAAAGATGTCAAAGGAGTAACACGATGCAAACAGTTCAACGTTGTTAGTACACCAGCCTGGTTGTATGAGCCTGCTACTTATTCAGATATTCACGAAGGTATCGGTAAATTTGTCACGACACTAAAAAAATGTATAAATAAGTAATATGTATTTACGAATATGTCTCTGGAAATCGTACTTATAACAGTTTTATATTTTAATGATATTTTGCTATATTATTTATTGCATCTCATCATTTTTATACGCATTTATATAATTTGATAAGTAAACATTTCTATTATATCAGAATGTATATATATTAATACTTTTGTAATCGATATTATAAATTGCAAATCTTGTTTTAAAAGATATTAAAGTTAATGTTAAGATATTAAAATTAATGTTACCTAAGTCTTGTATACGAGAATGCGCATTTTTTAAAAGTAGGACAGGATTCTATGGATCAGGAATTTTATTTTCAAAAAATATACTTTATTCAATTTTTTTACCGTGTTTTACCTTTGGAATGAAATGAGATGAACGAGGCACACGTTTTGGATATGTTAGCGCAGGCTAGTAAGCTTAAAAATACAATTAAAATAATCAACAACAAGTAAAATAACAATGAATCGAGATCTGCTGTAAAGACTCTCTATTGATTTAAAATCGTATTTTTGTTCGCTAAATAATGCGCCAATCTTCGCCGCAAATTTTGTCCGAAGTATAAATCGTCCTGAAATTCTACGGAGATTTCAGCACAAATATTCAAGTATCCTTTAATTCATAATAATTACGAATGGCAAGAAATGCTTAGAGAATTTCTTAATTGTAAATAACATTTTCTTTATAAATGTCGAGGTCGATTAGCAGTCTCGTTAAACCTGTAAATATGGAGAGATAATTAACATTTTATTAATATTAATAACGAATACAAAATAGACAGTCTTTATTAGTTTAATAAATGTATGCGGATCCTCACTTAAAATATATATTCAATTAAAATTAATTTTGCACGCAGCTATGAACCACATGTGTTTAATATCTTATTTGAATAAATGCAATATTATTATGCTGTTTTAGCTGAAACATTAAAATATTATAGATAAATATATAAACAGCGCATCGATATAATATAATTACGATAATAACGTAATTTTTACAAGTCAATTTTAGAAATTTTCGTAAAAAATAAATCGTGATAAATGTTTCCATAGGTTACAAATGTTTATATACATTTTCAGCACCTAATATGAAACTACGTCACATTTGTTTAAAAAAAAAGAGAAAAACGAACGCAAATCTAAAAGAAGCAGATTATGCATATTCTGATTATGTATTTCTGAAATATAATAAGTTCTACGTATATGTTTTACATAATGAACAGGATAACGAGGCCGCACGAGTCTCGTGGAATTCAGGTTTAGCTCGAACGTAAGTGTCGTTGGTTACTGATTCCAGAATTGAAGCTTACTCGAGCGTAACGTTTACGTACAATCGATGAATTCAATCAACATGAAAGGTTTCCGTGCACAATATTTAACTTTGCAAGTCTTACCAAAACGGGAACAGTTCTTCAGAAGATCTATATGGTCAGCAAAAGTTATAGTGTCACATAGAATATTTTAATTGATGCACTGTAGATTCAAAAAATATTCTAATTAAAATTTCTCAAACTTATGCAATTATCATCTAATATAGAGAAGAGTTTACTCATTAAAGTCAGTTTCGATTCTGACAATAATTGACCAATAAACAAAAACAGCAGTATTTTATATTTCTAATTAATACCTCTTCGCGCGTATAAATGCATTTTCTTCTGTAATAACTTAAAATCTAAATAATTATTTCGGATTCTCGTTTAGGAAATGTCATAGAAAGTTCGTACATTAAAGACTACTAATGTTTGAAAACTGATGTTTTCGTCGCTCATTTCATTCATACTTACAGACCACCGTCGGAATTCCAACGTTAGGAATTGAATACCTTCTAACCGGTGACATTAATTTTAAAATACGATTTTCAAATCGCCAACTTTCTGGATTGATCGAAGAAGTTCAGTACACGCACATAGTATCGTACGTAAAGATACGAGTCTTCTCTGACGCACGTTTTCGAAACATTCTCCTCCAATAATAAAGAGACGACTCTTTTCAGAGATACTTTGGTTCTGATCTCGAGGCCAGATTCCGCGTTTGGGAGAAATCCCGAGGTTGGCGTCCGCGTCAACGTACACTTAGCGATATTAGTGAACTCTCAGCTGAGAGCAAGTAGTGGTTCGACGGACATACGGGATCTCCTTGCCTTGTCCTCTTCATACTGCTTAATCTTCATAAGCTTCCATTTGCTCTTACTCTGTTTCTTTATCGGAATTTCCGTGGTGGTCATTTCCTCTATATCAGATCGCTCCTCTTCCTCCAACATTCTGAGAGTCTCGATAATGTTTCTGGGTTCCGTGATACGTCCAGTGGAGCTGCCATTCTTATTGGCGTACACTACGGAAAGATGTGAAAAACTGGATTTCGGCGGCGCCGTAATATCGGCGAAATCGCGGAAATTTGCAAAGAAGTCGCCGCCACGAATTGGCTGAGGTTTAGGATTCCTGTAGTATTGCGCGCGACCACGACTATAATACGGATTATAGAGGCTTTCGTCTACCGAATACTCATCGTTCTCCTTATCCTCCGGATAATAAGTGCCGCCGCGAATCACGCCAAAGTTACCTGAACCTAGTAGGGAATGATGATCTTTGCTTGCAGCGGTTTGATGATTACGATCGCGTTGAAAGTAGCCTAAAAATCTGTTGGGACGATATCGTTGCTGCTGTTCCGTCAACGGAAGTCGGTGATTCGCGAAGAGTTCTGCGAAAGACGGGAAGAAGTTTTGACTCAGCGTCTCCAAGTTTTTATCTCCCGCATCGGTAAATTGTGCGACGGCGGTATATTCTGTATTTTTCGCCTCTTGATCTTTAGAAGCGTCAACTTTTTCAGCTTCGAATAATTTCTCCTTGTTTTCGTCGGTAGTATTTCTACTAGTTTTATCGGCAGTTTTATCGGTAGTAGTATTGGACGCTTTATCCTCGCTATTATTTCGCGTGCTATTTTCTATGCGATCTGATTGCAAAGTTCCGGATTCATCCGACTCCATATACATGTCGGAATCATCGTATTCTTCGCCCACCTCTGATGCTGATGCCACGGAATCCTGCAACAGGAAGAAATTTTTGCACAATTATGTGAATTGGCGTCGCCTTTCAAACAATAAATGCGCAATGCGAATAAGAGAAAGCTTATTGATATAAGCAAAGAAATATCTTACGTTACGGAAATGTGCTCCTTCAAATCCTATAATTTTGCAATGCATGAACTTTCTTCGCGTTTTTTATATGCGCATTGATTTAACAAGCATAACGATTGGTATGGACTTAACATTAAAAAATTGATTTTAAATTGTTGAAATTACTACTACACTCGAGATTATAATAAGAATTTGACAATAAAAATACTAAATTTTGTGTTATGTAGTTATCTGCGGTCTGATATTATTTAAAAAAAATAAATGATACTTTCATTTAATGCTAATTTAATGTTACATGATAATTGTGGATTACGCCTCAGCGGAACATAAATAAAAATTCTAGAAACTCAGCATAGTTATTCCTTAACTTCTTCATTTTTCTATATCATACTTTCTTTATTCGAGTTGATTTCCATACTGAAAAAATTAACAAGTAGAATAATAAATAATCACTACCGGAATATTACACTTTCTATATCGTTCTTCTTAGAATTATTTTTTAGTGTCCACAATGCGGCGACTGTAGTGATTAAAGATTATTCAAGCATGACAGGAAATATTTCAATAAGTGCAGCAGTTCCTTTCGCGGAGTGCATCGACCGAAGAGGGACGGTCTGCCTGTTCAAGCCCACCGTGTCCTCGCCTTGACATTTAAGACATCTTCGTGCGAGACCATTTATGCTCAAGCTAGTCACCATAGATACGTAACCCGTACGTTGTACGTTGTACCCTCTACGCATACCACAATATCGCATTCTATAAAAGCGCAGTATGATTGTACCGACTACGTGCATACGCATCGTAGATGGCCATTGAAGTTTCTTGCAACACGTCGGCGAGACACGCCTAGCATTGTTACGAATATGTCAGGTCAACACTCGTCAGATATAGCTGTATCTACCTTCTCGAAGTTATTATAATACCTGCTCCCGTATCGAAGTTGCTCCTATAAATGCGACGTTAAGCTCGCAAATGAATCTAGTTGTATCGCCAACTACAATGCATTTATTATGCACGCAATATGTACTGGATACATGGACCTTTCTCTTAAAAGCTAAATTGATCAACTTTACTTTTTATTGCTAAATTTTATTATTAGAGGCTTAATAATATTCTTTGGTATTAAAATTAAAAAATTTTATGAAAAGTAGAATTGATCAATTTAACTTTTGAGAGATTCATATGGTGAATTTTTTCGTATATTACATATTGCACAAGCTTCGCGAATAGAGAAAATTATTACGAAAGATTTTCTAATAAAGCAAAAGTAAAGATTAAAATTAACAAAATTATAAATCAATGGTGCAATAAAAAATAATTTTAACGAAGGAGGATCATGGTAGCCGTTTCGAATGTTATACGGGCGTGTAGACAATAAATTCTACATGCACCGGCGAATGAGCTTGATGGATGCGTCTTTGCAGCCCGTAATGAGAAATGAATGATAGACTTTACGAGCAACATTTCTATGCACAGAGTTTTGATCGTATCAGAACAAAATAATGTGTCGCAGTTAATCACTTCAGTGTAATTATTCGCTTGCTTCGACTAATGTAATTAGTCGGCACTACAAAGCTTACAGGTGGGACAAATTGAAACACTACCTTTACGACATCACATTATACAGAAAAATTCGAATTCGGATGTTCGTTCATCTCGATTCGCACGTAATGCAATAATAATTAAATACTCATGATATTAGCCATAATGGCAATAATCACGCAACCATTAGTTTTAATTAGAAAATAAATTATTCGCTAGTGCATATACTATAATTTATTGCATATGGAGGGAGGGTATATGATATATTATAGATAATATAAACCTTTCAAAATTGCGTTGCCCGCACGATATAAGCAGATACGAAATAGATAATCTGTACAGTAATATTTAAATATACAAATGAGGAAAGATTTATTAAAAATAACAGAGATAGAAAAGTGAAATAATATTATGCCGTATAAGTAGAAGAGTTGAATATAAAAAAAATGCAGAAAGACAGGTTATAATTATATGATTATAAGACACGATTTAATCAGTTCATATGTCCAAGAGAATTGTAAGATAAATGCTGCAATAAAAGTATTTCCATTCGATGTAGATCTGAATATTTCATCGTGTATGTGTGTACATATTTATTAGAGTTCTCTGAAATATGCAATTATTATTCCGACAAAACAACACACAAAAATATGAGCGTTGCTATATTTCAAGAAGATTGATAAAAATGTGTATTAATTATATCATGTATGTTATTAAGTGATATTGTTAAAGGAAAATATATGAGTTTCAAACTCGAGGCAAACTAATGTACTAGAAACATTCGATTAGCGGTAATAAGAAAGTTAAAAAAACGTATTAATTGTTACACATAATTACCGAACGCAATTAGTTCCGCGATTTGCACTTGATAAACACGTTAAGTATTTATTAATTCAAGAATTATAGTGTAACTGATAAAATAGCAAGCGTTTGATCAGAAAGTTCTTATGGCATGAAAGTTCTTGTCTCACAAACGTATTATCTCCTTCGCCACTTATCCTGACTTTTTTACGTGTAATATTCAAACAGGATTTAAACTAATGAAAGGCTTTAATATTCTCTGTAACGATCGAAATTGACGAAGATTGACAAAGAGAAGAAAGCTGAGAGGAAAAGAAGGATACGCTATTATTACGCGATTACAAGACGCAAATTAGTCTCGCAATGCGTTCTTTTACCAGGTATAAAATATACGATGTGCACCTGAAGATTATTATATTATCTCGATGTGTGGATGTGCACTATCCAATTAGCTATAGTCTACCTCCGTCGATTGGTATGAATTATATATGAATTAGGGGCAATCACACAGCACGAGTAGCCGCGGGCCATACGATCGATGATCCGCGGTTCTTAGAGCAGCGCGAATCGTCTTGGCGCGAGGGAACTTATAAGCTGTATTAACGAAGCATATGTGTTGTGACACGCGAAAGTACGGCAGAAATCCTGGAGCAAAATCGACATTGGTTACTGGACTGCTCGATCGTGAAATACAAGCTTGTAATTTTATAATACCTCTTTTCATAAAGTTAAAGAAGAATAAGATTAGAATAAATTGCTGAAAAATTTATATATTAGGAAGATTTATTGATTAAAGATTAAAGCATTAGAATTGTTATTAATAAATATTTTATATCTTGTTTTGTATTATTGCTTTTTAAAAGCAATTATGATATATAAATAAATAATAACGTAAAGAAAAATTATTTCTAGTACAAAGATTAATATATTTTTTTACTTTAACATAGAGTTAAAAAAAACAACATATTGCGGCGATATAAAAATTTGATTTGTATCATCTAACAAAAATATTCGAATTTGTTCAAACGAAGAATATTATAATATTATTAATATTATTAATATTATTATAAATATTATTATAACATTATTAAAAATATTATTAAATTATTATATACGTCATATTTATGTGCAACCTGTATAAAATTGCCTATGTACTCTTTGATGCATCATTGCCGATTTGTTGTAATATTATGTTTCATTGCTCGTTTACGTTATCATGAATATAATTTACAGCATGCTGTCAATAAGATCTCTGAGTGAAATATCGCACATCTGATTTACTACACGTCATCATGAGAACTCAGACAGTGTTACGTTATGGATATCGAAATGGGAATATTTGCATTTATTGCGACAAATGCTGTTATGTTTTATCGATGGATAGAGTTATAAATGTGACGGTCAAGAGCACAATCAGAAGAGATACAGATGTATATTTGTATTCTTTAGATGTATGTACTTATTTTTATATTCTTATTATACTAATATAAGCAAAAAAAGGATTATACAAATATACAAAATATAAAAATATAAAATGTAAAACGTATATAGTATATATATATATATATATATATATATATATATATACTTTTGCATATATATGTAAAAGATATAAGATAATTTAAATTAAATTGTTATTAAATTTAAATTTAAATTGTGATAATTTATCTTACGCGTAAGAAAAAATAATATCTTTGTAATTATAAAATTAATTTCTGACTATGCTATAAGTTACAAAGACATATAATAGATCAAATTTATCAAAAGATCTTATCTTCTTTCAAGTCGTACAATGGTTGCCATGAATAATTGTGCAGATAACAATCTTAATATAAATATTTCACTACCAACTTAATATAATACGAAAGAGGAGAACATGAGAGATGTTTTGTTGAAAACGAGATGATATCTGCATGAATTTGTAGTAATCCGTGTAAAATATGCAGGCAACTATATGAGGCCATTCTTTCGCCTATATATATGTGATATCGCGATTTCCGAGTTAAATCAGGCTTTAAATATTCAAATTGTAAGCATAGCATGGTCATACTATATATCTGTAGATCCCTCCCTTTATATCATTCTTTAAAAATTTTTCTTACCTCGTGTTCGATCGCGTCCTCGGGAACCGGCGCTCCATCTGAAACAAAGAACAGATCTTTGTGAGAAAGGTTGTGCATCCTATTGGTAAATGTTTATACGACACATGCACAACACGATTAAATTATAGATACTGATATTTACGACCCAGTTATGCATTACAGATAGAACAAAACATTTTTTGAAACAAACATGCATCCACGAATCACGATGAAATAACTTTGATGGTCGATATCGGAACATGGCAAAATATAATACAGTACGTTAATGACCACCCTCGATTGCGCACATAGATCATTAAACCGGTCGTATGCATCATTCGCGTGCAATAGTTATTTGCTGTATTGCATCGCGATTTTCAAGGAGCTTTGTGGAACACCTTGAGAACGTCACATAGATTACATTATATCGACAGCTGCAAGAAATCGAATATATCGTGAAAGTCGATAATTTATGTTTTCATACATTATCGAATTAAGAGATTTGTATAAAACTGATTTTATTTTTTTTTAACTGCGAATTCAAGTATCCTCATAATTCTTACAACAATACTTGAATTATGATGTAGTAATTTAAATTATTTTTATATTATATAAACTAGTACATATGTGTAGCCTTTCGTAAAATAATACATTTTAATACACACAATGGCAAATGGGAAATAATATATTTTTGCGGAATGCGATTATTTTATCTGCGAAACCGGCTGCTCTTGTTTGTCCTCGAAATAAATTTGATTGTATTTGTCGTGAGCGCTTTTCATGAGCGTTCGTTTAAACGTTAATTTATATCCACGTGCCTTTTAAATTATTGATCGCGTACAGTAAAATTCATTTAAAAATACAAAAAGAGAATACGAGAGAAAAGAGAAAGAAAAGTAATCGCACGTTATTACAATAGCATCCAATCGAGCCGTTATTAATTAGTTCGCGAACATCGGACTTCCTTAATTAGTTCGTATCTTACTGACGGACGATTTTACTGGGTTTCTTTCATTTACGATACGAGAGAAAGTCAATTACGTCGATGACAAGTTGTAGATGCTTACTGAGGATTTAGTATGTCTCCAGAGATGCTTGACAAAATCAAGACCTTCATTCCCTCGACTCCGCTTGTCAACTGTATCTCTGAGACACATGATATTGGGCTGACAATGCTTCCGACATTTCTGTCTATTTTTTACTTCGCATAAATCTAGGGAGCGTTAATGTTATAAACGAATTTGATGAAATACATATTTATATAATATTTAATTAGAAGATAAGAAAATTGTTCGTCGTTATTTTGATAAATGCACGTATTTATGATCCGCGATGTTTCTTTCATTGCGTCATTTTTCGATTCATTGAGGCATGCTTGCAGCACGATCCGATTTTCGGATCACATCGGATCGAAAGAAATTAGCCCAATGGACTTGTTAAATCGCGATCTGTCGGTAGTATTTCACCACGCCAATTATGGCTCGGCGCAATGTAATGAGGCAGCAACCGGCAATTTGTTGGTGCGATCCCGTTGGATTCTCGTAATTTATCGTGGCATGTGTGTATCGCGATCGAGAATCACGAGTCTTGATCACCTTCCTAAATCGTCAAATACGACGTCTCTTTGAGACATGTTAACAAAGGAAAAAAATTATATATCTCTAATATACTAATATACATCGCGTTCGCCATTCATATATTAATAGCCCCTAATGTAGTTTATACCTTCACTCTCAGTTTCATTTGCCACATTTGTTATCGTAGAAGCGCTTCGCATTGAATTCAGAGAGGAAACGTTGCACGATGACACGACAATCGGTCTTCCTTAAACATGCACGACGTACTTTACTTTCTAGCGACGAACCGCGAGCGCTTTCTGCATAATAGAACAATCAAGTCCGAGTGACGAAAGACACGCAGGCTACGTGTTTCGTGCGGAATGTAAATCTTGAGTAATAATACAGTCTACCAGTCTGTTACTTTCGACAATGTTGCCATACATCAGTAGATTTAAAAAAAATTATTATATCGAGCGTAGGTATATATACCATACATCTTGCTCATGCGAGAATGCATTGTAAGACTTATTTGCGTCCTGTAAGCGCGTATTAATAATTCTATTTATTGTGCTGATGACAATTGAGATAGTAAACATATGCGCTGTGAAATTAAATTAATTAAGTATATCGTTTTATCAAAAATATGACAAGATGCAAACGAGCAAACATATTTTAAAGGAAACGTATAATTATCTTGTATAAATAATATTATCCTTTCAAAGGAAATTATGCACATTACTATTCAACTACTTATTAAGCATTAATTTACCTACATGGCCCCATTTTTCAATGACATTCTACAACATCCTGTAACAATAGAGATGACACCAATGCGGGAATTCCGCTTCCTCGCGTGCGGCGTCACATTCTCAACATTGTCCTAGCGACACTATTTGCGACACAACCGGAGATGACGCTTTACCATCGCGCTCGCCTCGCGTGAAAAGAACATTGCGCGATTATTATAGCTTAATGAGAGTTGATAAACTTCGTCGATTTATGTCGCTTCATGATGGACGGCGATTACTTGATTATAGACTTTTAATTAATCGGAATTCATGTTGCATGTTTAAAGAACATTATTTCGCAAAGAATAAAACAGAGCATCATTCATGATGTAAAGTAACGTAATATTTAAAGTAAGTGCTTTGACATCTACTAAAAACAATATAATGTATGATTAATGCGAAAGACACTATCCTGTAATTTATGTGTAGGTAAACAGTAGCAGTAAAAAGCAGATTTTATGAAATCGAATTTTATGATAGAATCAATTTACCTCCGCACTGTCGTCGAAATTAATTTTATTGTATTACGTAAATCTGTATTAGCAAGTCTTTATTTTGTCAAGTGTTTTTGCCGTCAGTTCTTATTACCTGCTCTAAGTTGCAACTCATTTTCTCGTAGATTTTTTTAAAAACACTATTAAAGTTATTTCAATGAAAAATCACTTCACACAAAAATCTATAATATGTATCCATATCTATATAATTAATCTTAAATAATGATTATGTAGAAAGTAACACCGTGCATATAAATTTATCACGATTAAAACTAACTGACAAAATATTTTAATTTTACCGATTTAATTTTCCACATTACAATTAAATGTAAGTATGAAAAGCCTTCTAGTTAGAAACTATATTTATTTATATAAAATTAAGATATTTATGCAATCAACATCTTATAACTTTATTTATATATTTAATTTTTTTTTTCATAAATTTTACGATAAATTAAAAAGATCATATTTGGCAAACATTTGATAATCAAATGTATAATAAATGAATTATTTAGTGTATTAATAATTTAGTATAAAATTACGAAAAATAAAATCCGTGCTATACATCATGAAGTAAAACAGGAAAGAATTTCTAATACATACATTTCTCTCGTGCAATATTTATGAAAAATACATGTTGAACGAATGGACGATACACATAGACGATATTGATGGAAGATCGAGACGTGTGTTTCTGCTATTGCCATGCTGCAGTTTGCAGTTTTCTCATTTCAACATAGCCGTGTACTACTTAGAAATTGTAATGAATACGCGAACGACATAATCAAATCGCAAATCAGGTTGGATTCTTATGGGCGCTCCGCGGACGAGGAAGTGATTACCATTAGCTGAAGTGCGCTGCTCCTTTTGTTTCTTTTTTCGCCCTAGGTCACGAAGGAAAAAGACGCGGACTATTACGTTCCGTAGTACTAGAAGAAAATTTCGTACTGAATTGAAATCGGGTGCTTCCTGCTTTCGAACTTTCTGAAAAATTAGCGACAACGGTGCCGCTGGCATCAGCACGTAACCAGATATCCCATAAGATATGCAAGAGAGACGCGTTCTCGTGAGTTTATCAACTTTCCGAATCTAATCGATAAACTAAACGCGCGAATAAAATAAGATATTAATTCTTTAATATCGAGCGAAATAGATTTTAAATGCTGCTGATATTTTTGCTCCTTTACTTTAAATATTTCATCCAATCATCACATAAAATAACAATTTGTAGTTATTATTCAATTATATAATGTGGGAGAAATAGTTGTACATCTTCATATAATAAATAAAAATAAAATCCAAGATTGTAAAAAAAGAGGTTATCGCATCAATAATCCTTAATGAGACAGCCGCTTGGTTTTATATTGTCATAAATGTCTTGATGATTTCAACACGACGATTATTCCGGATCTCCTTTCTCGTATCGCATCTGATATATACAAGAAACAACTTTACCTAGTTAACTCATGATCACGAGTCTTGCTGCACCGACATCTGCATCTTGAATCAACGTCACCTACAATGCCGATAATGCACGAACTGTATAAAGTTATATATTTTCACTATTCTGCACGAAATATTGCGAACTTATATCCAGCACTTAAATAGTACAATAATTTTCAGGAACTTAATAGTTTATATAATATTATAATTAATTCTATGTAAGTGTTTCCTATCATTTTTTTTCTATTTTAATTTTAAAGAAATTTGAAATATATATCCTAGTAAATATATATATATATATATATATATATATATGTATATATATATTTAATATTTTTGAATGATTTATGTTAATAGGATCATACCTTATCATTTTATTATAATGATTTGTTGTTATAATGATTAAAAGTACGATGATGAAATAAGTCTAAGAATGTTTTGATTCGTTTTACTTGAAGCATGCTATCATAGAGATCTTATTATAGAAAAATTATAGATAATAAAAGTTACATTGGGATGCATCGTTAATAGTCGATAATATTATGGGAATCTCGCAGTACAGAACGTGGGAGTTTAAAGTTGGCCACACCTTTATCTTTGTTGAACGATTGCATTGAAAAGGACTGCAGAGAAGAAACCAGGATGAAAAGAGATAGAGAAAAAAGACGCGGCTCGTCTCTCGAAAATATTTCTTGAGAGTGAAAGCATCCGGTTCGCTATATAATACAAGCTCCATCCGAGCTCCAGTCTGCGCTGCGCGTTACACGTAGTAGCG